ATATAATCCTAAATTGATCTCATTCAAATAGTTTTTTAATTAATATTTTATGTTATTTATTATATTTTTATTAGTAAAAATTTTTTAAGTTATTTCGATACTTTCGATATAACTTAATAAATCTTCTCACCTTAAAAATATTAAAAGAAACCACTTATTTTCTTAAAAGGTTTCGTTCTCGGATTTGTTTTATTACTTTCAAAGCAAAATATGTCATAATTCTCTTTTATACCCACATGTATGATTCTAAAAATTTAAAGGAAAATCACTAGTAATTTTTTCTTAATTTTATTATCGATAAGAGTTTTAATCTATTTTGAAATGTTTTTATTGTTTATTTATTAAAAAAAATGAGAATTTTATTGGTCAAATTCTAAAAATATTTTCAACACTTTTAGAATATTATGAGAAAATTACTTGCCTAGAAAATTTTAATAAAATCATTATGCATGACTTTTATTCTTGTAAAATTTTACTTAATTACCTTGACAATTTAAATATTTTATATTTTATTATTTTTTATTGAAAAGATTCTTCAAAAATCTTACCAACAATTTTTTGGTTAAATTTTGAAAGATGCTTTTCTAAAAATCACCACATTATTATATTTATTATTCTTTTTTATGTATTTATTTAATTTTTCCTATTTATTGGAAGTGAATATTATTATTATTTTATGAAAATTTCTAAAATATTTTCAACACTTTTGAAATATTTTAGAAATTTTCTTTGTATGAAAATCACCACTTGTGATTTTATTCTTTATTAATAATGTTTTTTTACTTGAAAATTTTAAAATATTTTTAACACTTTTAGAATAATTTAAAAAATTTCTTTATGTAAATATTTTTAATAAAATCACCACTTGTGGCTTTATTTTTTTATTAATGATATTTTATTTTTTTTCTGCTTGAAAAATTCTAAAATATTTCTGACAATTTTAGAATATTTTAGAAAATTTTTTTGTATAAATATTTTTAATAAAATCACCACTTGTGACTTTATTTTTTATTAATAATGTTTTTTTATGCTTGAAAAATTTTTAATATTTCTAACATTTTTGGAAAATTTTTAAAAAAATTTTGCGTAAATATTTTTAATAAAATCACCACTTGTGATTTTTTTTATTAATAATATTTTTTATGCTTAAAAGATTTTAAAATAATTTAAACACTTTTAGAATATTTTAAAAAATTTATTTGTGTGAATATTTTTCATAAAACCACCACTTGTGACTTTGTAGTTATTTTATCATATTTTATTTTTTTTTATTCACTTTTATTCATTCATTATTCCAAATTTTTACATTCATTATTTTATTTTTTATTATGTATTTTAATATATCCTAAATTGTAAATTAAAAATACTCAAAAGATACAAAAAAATAAAAAATAGAATAAATAATAAAAAAGAGAATGAAACAAATAAATAAAAATACCAAAATTTTCACCAATTAATGACGAATCAACACCGAAGTCAATGTTGGTCAATAGCAACCAATGGTTCAATAGCGGTCTACCCTCGTCTGGTGCAGTTCTGGGGTGGTTTAAAGGTTTAAATTGGTTTTCTGGCTATTTATGATGGTTTGGTCCAGTTTGTGATGGTTCAAAAGATGGTTTAGCTGTAATTCAACATCGATTTGGATGGATCGATCAAAGTCAAAGAAAAGTGCAGGTTAGATATGCGAACCTTGAGTCGGGCCATGAGTCATGTGTGGATCTTAGGCTCTAAACGGCATTGTTTTGTCCTCTCTTTTTTTTGCTACATAAATTTTTTTTTTGATTTCATTTCAACCTTTTCTTTTTAAAAAAACTTTTAGACCAAAAAAATTTTCTTCTAATTTTCTTTCCCAAAGATGCCGATTGTTGATTGTTCCACCATCAAGCCTCCGTTGTCACTGACCACCATCGTTGGTGACAAAAAAATCCTAAAAAATTCCGGTGACTCCCCATAAACATGAATTCGGCCTTCTTTTTATGAGAAATGGCCTTCAAAGGTATAGATCGAGGCCTAAAATTTTGATTAAACAATATTTTCTTTTTATTTTTCTTTTTTTTTTGTGGCATTGTGGTTCCCTGCTACTAGGGGCTGTGGTTTCTTATTTATTTATTTATTGTTTTGGCAGAATAGATTTTGATGTTGTTAATTGGTATCTTGTATGGGTAGTCTCGATGCGTACAAGGGTGGCTCACGCAGGGTCGATTTTGGGTTGGTACGAGGCTTGTGCTGATGAGAAGTTTGGTGTGCAGGGGTGGTGCATAGGGTGTGTGTGTGTGTGTTTGTTGGATTCTGTGATAGGGGTGTTTGAATTGATTTTGGCAGTGTCTATATTTTCTAAGTTTTTGTGTCTCTTCTCCCTTTGTAACCTTGTGTGGCCCTATTTATAGAGCCACTGGAAGATCAAATTTTAGATTTGGGATTTGAAGAAGAAAAAAAATAATACTTGAAGAGGAAAAAATGATGGCCATCGACGACTTCTTCCTCAAAAATTTAGCTTTTGAAAATTTTACTACATAGTCTAATAGTGCATTTAATGCACTAAAGACTAGACCCAGTAATCCAGTAATCCGTGTCTACGCATCATGTTTAACATGTGTAATAATATAAATTATTAAAATACGAATACGACACAAATTATAAAATATTTAAATTCTAAACACTAATACAACACGTTTAATATACGTGTTACATGCGACATGACACGATTAACATGTATATAATTAATTCATTTGAATATGATACAAATAAATATGAATAATATGAATATACATGAATAGACATAACTAACATGAATATAAATGAATAGACATGAATAGACATTATTAACACGAATATATAAAAAGATTACTAAAATAATAAATAATTATAAACTATCCATCATTTACAACTTAATAAATTTGACATATTAATAATATAAAAAAGTACTTACAAATTACATAATTAAAAAAATTTAATACTCATTTAATATGTATTTAATATATATTTAAATTTAAATTTATATTATATATTATATAACTATATTAATTTTAGTATCAAATTCAAAAATGATAAACTATTAAAGATTAAAGAATTAAATAATAATGTATAGGACTAATATTAATATTAATATTATATTATATTTATATTATTAATATAAAATAATTTTATAATAATTATTAAATGAATATCATAATTAAATGTTTAAAATAATTTTTATAAGATATTAAATAGCTAATTAAGTATCATAATTAAAAAATTAAAAATTAAAATAATTTTTATATGTTAAACATATTAAACATAAACATAAAAATTTTTAAACATGTTAAAATGTATTTAATAATTTTTTAAATTAAAATAAACATAAAAAATGTGTTAAACATATTAAACATATTAAATGTATTAAACATCTATTCAGATGATAAGATTAAATTAAACTATTATTTATGTCGCGTCACATGTTTAGACAAGTCAACATATATACGATACGAATTGTGTCATGTTGAAATTCGTGTTGACACTAATAAACAAGAAACATATTTTTTTAAAGTACATATATAATTTTTTTCATGTCGTATCACCATGTTGTGTTTGAAATTGCTAGGTCTATTAAAGACTCTGGACCAAATCAGAAAAGAAAGAAAGAAAAGATAATAGGGAAAGAAAAGAAAAGAAATAATAATAATAAAAAAACTAAAATTAAAGTTAAATAAACAAAAAGAATCAAAATTGAATTTCGACTGAAATCTAATTGGGCCCAATAAAAAATTAGAAATCGGATTAGAGTAAAATTGAGAAATTCAATTTTATCTGAATAAAATAGGTAGTTACAATTATCCTTCTTTGTATATTACTGAGAATCATGAATAAAGCAAAGGCCAAAAGATAATAATTTTGTTCGAGTGGTCAGATATGAAAAGTTAAATGTTGGACATAAAGGTTTTTTATTCTTTTCTTTTTTAAAAAAAATTTGAAAGGCTCCTCTAAGTAGATATTCGATAATTTTTTAAAATTTAAAAAGCACATCTAAGTAGAGACTTAATAATTTTTGAAAATTTTAAAAGACTCATTTAAGCAGAGTCTTGATAACTTTTAAAAATTAAAAGGCTTCTCCAAGTAGAGGCTTTATAAATTTTAAAAAATTAAAAAGGCTCATCTAAGAAGAGGCTCAATAATTTTAAAAGATTTAAAAAGCTTCCCTAAATAAAGGCTCAACAACTTTAAAAATTTTAAAAATTCTTCTAAGCAGAAGCTTCACAACTTTAAAATTTTCATCTTTTATTGAAACTGAAATCTTATTTTTAAAAAAACAAATTTCTTTCTTTTGAGAATTGAAATTTTATCTTTGATTGTTATCCTTTTACAAAGGCTAAAAATCTATTTTTCATTAAAGAATGAAAAATCTTTGTCTTTACTACAACTTGTGATCTTAACCTTTCATAGATGCACTTACCAAATTCTTTAAATGCAATGCATTTAATGACCTCACAAGCAAAATATATCTTTGATTTTTTATAATTATTTTTACAAAGTAAATAATAGTTTAAAAATAATGAAAAAAATTGTAAGTGTTAAATTTTAAATTATATATTTATTAAATATTATTTTTTAAAAAATAATTATATGAATCAATTATCTTGATTTTATGATAATGCTTATTTCTTCGTCAATGACTATTACAAGATTGGAATTTAAAATTATAATAAGAGTCACATATATTAGTTGTTTATATTTTTATGTATTTTATTAGAAGAAAAAGATTTAAAACCGACTTTGTAAAAAAAAAAAAAAAAATTCTTTATTTGGACTGAGTCTGAATATTCAAGTGCGACAAAAGTACCGAAAAGTAACGGAGCTGACCAAGTAAACTTGGTCGGTACACCGTATAATGAAGGTCAAAGAGCCGACGAGTTAACTTGATATGTTCAGCTTATAACGAAGATCAACGGTTCCTGGAAGTTGCAAAGAAATATGCATGCAGCTCAGGTCCTAGCAAATTCTCAATCCCGAACGGTGTATAAAATAGCAACAAAATGGTTATGGCTCGGCCAAAACAAAACAAGTAAGCAGTTACTTCCTCTCTAGCTTCTTCCTCCAAACATCTTTCCCTTGCCATCGCCATCATTTTCCTACTCTCTTTGAGTCTATCTTAACAGATAAACGACACCATGAAGGTATGAAAATGAATCATGAAATTAAAAGTTTCTTTGATTGATGAATTTTATGTTGAACTGAAATTTTCCTTTTTGCAGCAAAAGATTGTAGTTAAGGTAACTATGAATGGAGAGAAGTCCCGCTCCAAGGCCTTGCAAATTGTAGTCGGTCTCTCAGGTAGTAAAAACAAGCTGAAACCCACTTTGATTTCATTCATTCTGATAATAAAATATTGGGAAAATTTTTATTCTGATTGCTGATTTTTTTTTTGTGTCTCAAGGAGTGGAGTCTGCTTCATTGAAAGGCGATGACAGGAGCCAAATAGAAGTAACAGGAGACGGGTTTGATCCAGTTAAGCTAACAAATAAGCTAAGAAAGAGTGTGGGGCATACAGAGCTGGTAAGCGTGAGTGCCGTGGGTGGTGAAAAGAAGGATGAGAAGAAAGATGAGGTAAAGCCAGCGGAGTATGTGTGGCCATATAATCAACCTTTATATATGTATCAAGGGGTGCCATCATATGGATATGCCCAGCATCATGACCCTTGCTCCATCATGTAAGAGCTCTAATCTCTACGTCTCATATCGTGGAGGAAATGTAAAATCTAAACAGACAATAGTGTCCATGTGAGAGAGACTTGTTGCCCTTTTTTTTTTTTTTTCAGTTTTGAATTTTATCATATATTGTAGTGGGAAAACAACAAGGGTTGGTGGAGGAATGAGAAGAGCTAGATTTCTGATAGTGAAAGTGTGATAGAGGTTTTGGTTGATGTCTCCTATCTGTTGTATGATAAAATTGTTAATTCTTTTGATGTTGTCATCTCTGTTTTATTCTCTGTTTTCTCCCTTCAATTAACCCAATATTTTGAGTCATATAAGGGGATCAGTGAAGAACGATGTTGGGAAAAGAGAAAAGACTTTCAGTTTTCCTTTTTTCCCTTTAAAAAACATAAGGAAACATGGTCAATCTTTCTATCAAGCACGTATAGGATGTTTGCTCTTTTTATAATTACTCAAACTAACTTTTTTCTACAACTATAAGCCAATGATTAAGCAATAGTTCATTAATTACTCCTATAATTTTTGTTTCATGCAAATGGTTTTTAATTGATTGAGTGGTTTAAAGTAGTAGAAATAATTGAATGCAAAATTTAAATGATTCGTATAATCATTTTAAAAATATGATATATAATAAATTTAAATTTAAAATTTTTTAATTATCGTGTTGCATTGAAGCTTATTTTGTGTCTAAAAAAGTCCAAAAAAAAAAAACATCGTGGAAGGGGTCAAATGCCAAACTTTTAACAGTGCATTTAAGATTGAAAGCTTAGTCAATGTTTTGACTTGTCATTGTGCTGCTGCTGATGCTCCCATCTCCATCTCGGATCCTGTTGCTTCATTCGTTTTAGACTGCAAAAGTTGACCCCCTAAAATGGTAAAAGGGAAAAGTTTCGTAGAAGAGTACATTTTTTTTCTATTAAAAAACAGGAGAAAGGATCAAAATGCTAAATGCGAGTTTGGATTCCTTCAACCACTTAACTAATATGGATTATTTTTTAGGAAAAAATAATTATATTAATTATTTTTAAAATTTTACTGCATGGTTTCCTGAATTAATTATGTATAGATATGTATATATATTTTTGTGAATATAACTTTTTCATGCATAAATATTATTTTAATTTTTGTAAATAAATAAATAAAAACTTTTAAATTTATTTTATCTTTGAGTTTCATTATCTAACTAAATAAGCAAGTCAAGGTTTCAAAATAAAAAAAAAAAGCAAGTTAAATTTTATCTAGCATTGACAATCAAGTAGTGGCAAATACATTTTTCGGATTAGGGTATTTAAGGATAATCCTAAAAGGTTTAAAAAAATATTTTTAAAGAATTTTTTAAATACTCTAAAATTTCCTTTTGACATTCTTCCTATCAACAAAATTAATAAATTTTTTATAATTATATATATATATATATATATTATAAATGAACACTTTCAAAAAAGTTTTGAACCTATTATTGCAATCAAATTCAAGTATTATCTATGTATAAATTTTTAATCTTATTAGACATTAATATTATATATTTTTAGGTTTAAGTGCCTACTCGAATTAGTATGTACTTTACATTTTTAACTAAATTTATCTTTTATTTTTAAAAATTTCGAACAAACAAAAGTAATACTAAATAAAAAAAGTCAACGTTATGGACTATTCTTACATACAAAGCTGCAGTGACAAAGTCGTAGGAAGACTTGATGACTGAATAAAGCTACAAATTTGATAGTTACATCAATGTGAGAAGGCGACAGCCTTCTTCGCGGCTCCATCGTGTCTGAATAATGACTAAACTCTGAAAACGAACCTCTGTTTATATGACGGAAGTCAAGAAGGGAAGGGTCGCTCTCGTTTTCTATTTTTTTTTTTGTTTTTGGCCATCAAGGGTCACTCTCACTTGTCATTCTTATTTTAATGTCTTCTTTTAATATTATTCTTAAAATTTTAAATAAAATTGTTAAAAATTTAAAATTTTATTAAAAAGCATAAATGAAATATAGAAAAAGAATAGTGAATATATTGTTTGAGATAAACATCAATTTGGACGGAAACATTAATTTGACAAAAAGTCACATAGGATTATTATTTACTGTGTTTGTTTTATTGAAAGCCCCTAAAAGACTCAATGCTTGCCTTTGTTTTATGCAAGTGTCTTAGGGCTTTATTTGAGCTTCTTCACTTCTTGCCTTCTTGATTTCATTTCTTGTTTTTTTGTGTAAGATGATGTTGATGCTAAAATCATTGTGAGTAGTTTATCAACAACCTGTAGTCAGAAAATGCATAACCTGCTGGCATTTAACAAATTAAAGAATTGTATTTATTGTTGCAAGTTTAAATTACCCTTAATTAGTGTTTTTTGTGATATTGATTAAACGTTGCATGTAATGATGTTTTATTAGGGACTAATCAGGAAGCTAAGGAGAATACACCAGCAGCAACTTCAACAGTAAGTATTCAAGTTACATCTTCTATTTTTGTTGAAACCTGTCCTTATGAAAAAATTTTAACTTGTTTTTCTTTTTTGGGTTAATGCTCAATAATTTTTTTTATTAAAGAAATGTATTTATTGTTTGTTGTGTATTAGTGACTCAGGTGACACCCTTCAAATATCATCAGCATCATAGTCATTTTTCATATGTAGGGTCACTGTCAAATTAACAAAGTGATGAATGGATAAATTGACAAGGCAGCTCTTGGAAATAGAAAAGGGCAACTCCACTGTATCTTTCTGTGTTTATCACCCATGTGTCGTTTTCATTCTAAAACTTTTAAATGATAAAAAAAATAGAAATTATCACATACATTAATAATAAAATTTTTAAATTTAAAAAATAAGATTAAAAGGTGACATGTATCTTTTAAAATTATTTTAAAAAATAAAATATAAATTAAATATTTTTCAATATTTTAATTTACTTGTCAAATTAAAAATTTCACTAATAATATATCAAATACTAATTCTAAAAAAATTTCAAATTTCAACCTATAATTACTATAAAAAGATGAAAAAAGTCGGTTGATGTATTTTCGAACTCAGGGAAGAGTTAAAATCTCCCTCCAAAACATAAAACTTGCGTTGACAATAAAGAGATGGGAAATGACTATTTCTTTACTGTATACATTATGAAAGAATAATAATAATAATAATAATAATAGTAGGACTTTATGCTTATTGAGAAAACAATTTTATGCCTTCATATTATGAAGAAAACAACTATATATATGTTTGGAAAAAAAAATGAGAAAATTTGATTGGATTTAGTTTGGCATTAAGATTGTGATCAAAAGTTGCATTTAAAAGTAAAATTTGTGATAAATGTATTAAAAAAAAAGAGACAGAAATACTTACTTTAGTCGGTGAAAACAAATTCATCTTATAATTGAAATTTTTATCACAAATCTTATCCTATTTAACTAAGGGCTATTCTAGTGGCTTGGTACCTTTAATATAAAACTCGGCTTCTTTTTCTAATTTAATTAACTATTTCGACCTTCTTTCATAATTTTCTTGGTTTTGCCCTTGTATTTAACGTTGCAAGAAATTTTATTATTGCTTTAAGAGCAATGTCAAATGAAGCCTTAATACAATTCTTTTTTCTTCTTTTGAATAAGCAGTAATTTAATCATATATTCATTTAAAACACGTTTTTCATCTTAGGGTCTACTATATGAGTTTATGATGTTGAACAAAATAAAGATAAATGTTTAATTTAAATTATTAAATTATAATGCGCATGACCCAAAACAATTTAATTTTATATCTCTAAAGTAAAAGGAAAACCTTCATTTTTCAAGATACAGTCTAAACAAGAAATGAATCATGTATATATCGGAGATTCCACTTTCCATTTATTTGGCCCCAAAAGCCAAAAAAAAAAAAAAAGGTTCTTTCTAAAAGTATGCAAAAAAAAAAAAAAGTGGAGCTTTACTTGGATTTAATGGCGATATTCTTGGGAACAGGCCATGAACAAGGGAGAAAGCAAAAGGCTTGGCGTATGTGTTGACTGACAGAGTCAAGCAAAAGGCCGAGGCTAAACCGCGTAGCCTAACGTCCGCATCCTACAAATATGTGGTAGACAAGGAAGGGCCCTAGCTAATATAGTTTTTTGGTGGAGACTCTTTCGCCAATTCGTAAAGCCTTTGAATTCCTTGATCAGCTTTACAGCTAGGGATTGCGATGGATAATAAATAAGCAGATATTTATTATTATTTAATTTATTTGGATTAGATTTAGATAATTATAAATAGATAATTAATAAATTTAAATAAAAATTTTATTACTTATGATAGATTTAAAATGAATACGAATAATATTCTTTAAATATCTTATATTTAAAATTGTTTAATTTTTAGTTAATAATAATAGATATTTAAATTCATATTTAATCCTATACATATTTATATATGTAAATTATATAAAATTTCATAGTTATAAAAGTTTTCAAATATTAAAAATGTAATTTTTATTTATTATTAATTAATAGTAAACTTGAATTTTAAATTAAAATTTTATTTATTTTATATTTTTACAAAAATTTAAATAAATAAATATTCTGATTGATTAAGATATTTAAACGAATTTAGATTTGGATAATAATATTACACTTAAACAAACATTTAAACAAATTTGGATATTATAAATATTAAATAGATTTAGACACAAATATTCCAAAAATAGCATATATCCACTCTGTTGTTATTTCTACTATTGTAACGATTTGAAATTGTTCGATGAATTTGGAAAACAAAAAAAAAAGTCACTACTAATTTTTTTATTAAGTGTGATTAGTCATCTATTAAAATATATAATTTTAATAAAATTTTAAAATTAATTAAAATTTATTAAAAAAATAATTTTAAGGTATGTAAAACAGTTTTTATTCGGGAGTGAATTATATGTAGGAATGATTAGTCTCCCATAGCGCCCATTTAAAACGATACTAATTAATTATGTGTTATCTTTTAATCTTGACAAAAAAGATATTATTTTTTATATTTAAAAATAATTTTTTTGACTTCTTTTATTTATTTAAGTTTTAGTTTTTATTTTATTATTTTTTTCATTGTTATTCTATTTTATTCAAGAAAAATAAATTGAAATTATTTTATTGAAATAATTCATAAAATGTTTCAGTATGTCGGTAACATTAAAAAATTTTTTTATTATTTAAAGATTTTTTAATTATCGCTTCTCGGAATACCTTAGAATCTCATCCTCAGAGGTTTGTATTTATTTTTCATAAAAATTATATCATGTATGTAATGCAAATGATGATATATTGATGCACACATTTTTTTAAATTTTTTTGTTTTTTTTTTTATTAATTTTATTATTATTTTTTGAAAAAAAAAGAAATTTTTTTCATATTGAAAATTTTTTATAAATACTTCAATATACTAATAATATTTAAGAAAATCTTCTCA